GTGTTGGTCTGTGTGTGTGGGGGCGGGAGTAGGGGAGGACAGTCAAAACAGGGGGTCGCGAAGAAGGACGAAGTACGGTTCAGGAAACGTCCCTAATGACTTCATCAGTCGCTATGATCTGTCATGAACGTCGAAGCGGTCGTTAACGAACCCGGAGCATAATCGGCAATGCAGAGCTCTTTATGCCTCTAAGGTTTAACTATGCCGATGGTGAAACTGAGTACAACAGTGTTTGTATCGTCGTGTAATGACGATTAAATGGCAGAACCACGTAAGAAATGACTCTATTGTCTTCCGGCCAAAAATGACCTCAATATATGTGGCAGGTTAAGAAAAGGATAAACTGTTTTTCCGGGAGGGGGGCGTAAATCATTTGTTCATGCCCCTGAGCTTCTCGTGTGTTAGCCTAAACACGGCAGACGTCGACTAGGAAGCCACCAACATGCAACACGGAAGAACAACACATGGGAGGGGCAGATCCGCTTTCACCGAGCAATCTTTACCTCTACAGTGCAATGACTAGTGCCTCACACTAAAAGCCTTGCAAAACCATTAGTAAACGGACATCGCAAACAGAAACGTTCAGTGGCTTAATTTCACGATCACGACCAACTGTGAAAATGAACGACATGCAGCAACAAAGCATCCAGAGAAAAAACAACCTCCCCCCCCTTCGCCCTTAACAAAGTCAAAGAACAATGTAAAAAAGCCTCGGTGATCATGCCGCACGCAGCATAAAAACTCCGCTTCCCCTTCCAATGGTTAGATTGCACCGGCATCGTTAAAGAAAAAACTGAGATGACGAATCAGACATGCCCTAATTATCGAACGCTGCGAAAATGTCAACTTCGGACCACACAACTAACTACAAAAATCTACCTCATATTAATGAGACGAGCCGAAACGTCAGCATTGGTCCATCACCCGACTGACCAACTCATTCGCCTGCGTTTTTTCAACAAACAACATACGTAAAGTACGCTAAGGCATAAGCAAAAGTTGCGCTGAATGAGAACAATAGGAATACAAAAGAGGAGACTGAAGGATTCGGCCAAACATTAGCCATTGAAATGAATTTTCGAAATCACGGTCACTGTCAATGGAGAATCATGCCAATCATTTGTTAGATGCGTCTAACCGAAGGCATCATACATCAGCATGATCAAATTCGACTTGTGAAAGAAGGCCGCCACAAATTGCGTTAACAGCCGACATAAAAAGGACATTAAATCAAACGTCAGAACACGGCTATGGGTAATAAATTGCATTCTAAAGAGCTGTTCATCGCATTGACAAGTTTTGAGGCGATCAGCATTTGATGAAGTTTCAGATAAGGGCGTAAGTCAATGGATAAATACCTGAACAGGGTATGAAGGGAAGATGCCATTTCTGTCAAAAGCTTGAGCATCAATAATCGACTACAATTAATCATATTTCCAACAACATTAACGTATTT